TGTCCCGGTAGCGCGGCAGCACCCCCAGCCACTGGAAGTCATCTGAAAAGCCATCCAGGGTGCCCTTCAACCTGCGGATGGACACCGACTGTGGGCTGTACCGTGCCGCCACACTGCTGTTGATGGTGGAGCCGAGGTAGAAGAAAGAGGCATAGGAGGTGGCCACCACAGTGGCACTGGTCCCCAGGGGGCTGGCCATGCAGTCAGGGCAAGATGCCGGTCTGTTGCCCGTGGCTGAGTACAGGCAGCGTGTGGTCGTGATGGCCACCTCGCCGTCCCGCACCTCCAGCTGGTGCTGGTAGCACAGCCCGTGCTGCGCTGTGCCGCAGCTGTACAGCCACGGCTCCAGCGGGTCCAGCAGCAGCAGGACGTTGTCCCTGTCCTCGGGGCCATCCGTGGTAGCCGGGCACAGGCGGCAGATCTCGCACTCAGCACTGCCCACGGGGCCAGTGATCAGGACCGAGAGGAGGCGCAGCTCAGGGCTGGCCAGCAGGATGCGATTGCGGACAGCCACAAAGACAGCGGTCGGGCTGGCAGAGTCGGCAAAGACGGCGACGTTCTGCACGGGGCTGCTGGCATCAAGGCTGGGCAGCACGTAGGGGACGGAAAAGTTCCTGGTGGAGCTGTAAGGGATGCGGGGGCACTGCCAGGCGCTGGCGCCCAGCGGGGTCAGGGCGAGCATCAGAAAGAGGCACACATGGCACGATGGCCCCATGCTGCACCGTGACACCAGTGCAGGATTATTGGTGGTGCTCAGTACCAAAGGGGGTTGGGAGGCACTGAGGACAGGTCACCATTGCATCTGCCAAAACAAAGGAGAAAGGGTTTTACCGGCTGCGGTTGGGTGATGGCCCTGGGGCACCGCCGCAGCTGTGTGTGGGGCAGGGTCCCTTGGGGCCCGATGACGAGGGGTGCTGCCGGCAGAGAATGGGCCGCACCAGACCTCTGCCCAAACACCACAAGCAGGAGGTGAAGCCAAGCTGCCTGCGGCAGGGGGACAAATCCTGCCTGCTGCCACCTCCTGGGCACCGTGCCCCATCCCCGGCGGCACCCCTGCCCTGCCCCGCTCCGCCGAGCCTCCTCCTGGGGGCGGGAATGGGCCCCCTGCCACCCCCCCCGGACAGGGACCCCAGGGTCCCCCGGGGCCGGGAGGAGATGG